GTTAATATACTGTACTGCACAGTGGTCGGGGGCACAGATGGGCATGTGGGTTCCATCAATAGCCCCCAACCCAACAGGATGGTGTTTATGGCCCTCACTACCTACAGGAGACATACAAAGAAATAAAACAGAGAATCAAAGGGGGTGCCTGAGCTCTTGGATTGGCCCTGAGCCCTCCCCTTTCTCCCTCCTACAAACATTCCAGCACCTCCATCCCCCCGCAGGGCTCTGTGAGGGAGAGAGAGCAGAACTCCAGGAATGGGGCTTCCCTCCACCCCCACCTCACCCCCACACCTCCAATCCCCCCTTTCCCTAGGGTCCCCTTTTCCAGTACTCCCCTCCCCCCCATCCAGGGACTGCAGCCTGAGAGTGCCATACCTGCATGAGGAAGGCCCCAACAGTCGACTTCCCCACACCAAACTGGTTGCCCATGGACCAATAATTATTGGGCATGGACAGTTTCCAGATGGCGATGGTGACCTGCTCTTCCATGGAGGTGGCAGGTCGCATCTGGGTGTCACGTTGTTGGAGGGCAGACGCAAGCCAGGCACACAGCTCCAAGAATGTCTCCTTCCTCATACGGAAGTTTTGGAGTCATTGCTGGTTGTCCCACCACTCCATCACCAGCCAGTCCCACCACTCAGAATTGGTGTCCAGCCTCCAGAACCGTTGCTCCACCGTGGGGTGCACTTGCAAGGGCATTTCTTCCACACACAGGCAGAGGTTCTCAAAGATGAGCTCGGGGTTGAACTCATTCAGGGCCATGAAGGCAGCCTGCAGAAACTGCTACAGAAACTGCAGCATGGCCGTGTGTGGCCATCACATGCCCAGAAGCAGCTGCGGCTCCATGGCAAGGCGTGCTGTGGTGTCGAAAGGCAGGGCAACCAGAACATGCAGAGGAAATACTTTGCTGTCCCTATAAGAGGTAGGCAAGCAAACAGAAGAACCTGAGAAATGACTGTGTGTGTGTGTTTGGGGGGGGGTCCCTTTAAGCACGCGTCTCAGCTAGCCTTAGGCAGCAGCTACCGGAAGCAGCTGCTGACGCAATACCCTGCCTGATCTGGTTCCGGGTGGCCTTAAATGCAAGATAGTAGCCAATCAGTGTGGACGCTGTCTTTCGAAATAGCACATTGCTATTTTGTGGCACTTTTTTGTGTGTGGACACTCTATTTCGAAACAAGCTTGCAGTCTAGATGTTCCCTTAGCTACGACAGTGCTGTAGACCTTACATTTACACCAACCACGTACCATTTCCAGCATATTTGCAGTGGAAATCCCTTATGTGGCATGTGGGATCACATTTATTTTTAGAAATCACTGTTTGTACCAGGGCTGGCTGAGAGATTAGCATCAGCACAGGGTACAGGAGCCAAGAAATAGGAATGAGGCCGAGTCAAGATATCCGGAGGGTAGGTTACTTTGAAGTAGGAATAAGAGATCCTCCGGAAAAGGGCTTTATTCCGGAGGATCGCGCCAGTCTAGACGCTTTTTTCCGGCTTTTCCCCAAGC